ATTTATTTATATGAGCACATAGAACCACCAGGTATATATATATATGTATAGTATGGTCTATGCTCGTAATCTGACAAAAAACACACACCGTACACACACAACAACAAAAAATGCACTGAGGCTACTGATCACACTCGCAGGTCGAAGAAGAATCAAACTGGTTAGTAAAATAGGATTTAAATAAACGCTTTGTTCTAGACCAGAGTTAACTGCTGTCGTTTAAACGCAGTGAGAGTGAGAGGGAATTTAAAGAATTGAAAAAGCTTTACCTTCATTTTAAAAATAGTTTTACAAGGTACAGCCTTGAGCTTTTATTTTATTTCTTTTAAATTATTTTTTTTTTGGGGGGGGGGGGGTGAGCTGTTTGGTTTTTATTTTTAATTGATGGATTGTACATTTCGAGGTCCTAGATCGTTTAAACACGTACAGCCCACTACTGCAGCTTTGTAGTTAATAGGTGCTTTAACAGGGGGCCAATTTAGCTGTTAAAGCAGTGGTATTGGGAATTTTCTATTCTCTTTATAGGCCTTTTGAGAACAACTGCCGCAGCTTTTTTCTGGAGTCCTGTCAGTTTATTCATTAGTTCTGCTGTTATGTTTATAAGAATTGATTTGCAATAGCCAGTAAGGGATAATACACAAATTAAATGATGACATTAAAGAATGTTCCATAATTTGTATAATTAGTCGGATCTCTATATATGCAGCCTTACATGGATTATGGACGGGTGGTTGGAGGGCGCCATTGGTCAAACAATGAAACAAACAAGCAAATAATAAATTTTGGACTTGGTGGTGCATACAAAATTCGTTGTCAGTTTAAACTCCTCACTTTTTAGCCTTTGCTTTAAAAATCACTTTCTCATTTCCAACAAGATTGTCAGTCCCGTCAATCTGTGTCACCAAAGACTTTAGGTTGCTTAAAATTATTTCAGTCTTATTATCAGTTAATCACGGTCTGCTGGGTGTTATTCAGGTCTTGACTTCGACGACAGGTTTTCTCATGATTTGAGCTATTTAAATGCATTTTGCCAAGGGGCTCCGAGGATAAAATAAACAGCTGAGTGTCAACTGTGTAGCCTACATGGGATAGGAGCTATCGTGGCTTCTACTTTTATGAAACCAAAGAGTTTACAGTAATGGTAGTAATACTGTAAAACTTTGTGATGAAACTAGATCTAAGTGGTATTACGTATAAAGTGTATTATAACAACAGTGGTCTTAACACACAGAGCTCTATGGTACCCCGTAATTCAAGCTGTGTAAATTGCGGTTGAGTGAAAATTTGCGCTATACAAAGCATGCTGCTTATTATCATTACATGTATTATTACTACTACTGCTGCTGCGGCTACTACACGTACTGCTACATGTACTACTACCACCACTACTACTACTGCTGCTGCTTGTGCTGCTTCGGGCGCTGCGACTACTACTACTACTACTACTACTACTACTACTACTACTACTACTACTACTACTACTACTACTACTACTACTACTACAACAACAACAACAACAACAACAACAACAACTACAACTACTACAGTAGTATCCGCCTTAGATCCCACCGCTTACGACCCCGGTTCGCTTAAGATCCCGCTGTTTTAAGAAAACAGAATTTTTACTAAACAAAAGTCACCAC